AGACTGAATATAAGATATTCAACTGACAAACACAATATAAACAGTAAACAGTAGTAATTCTACAGGATGTCTTTTTAATATTAAACTTTGTAATAATAGTCCCCAGTGTTTTATCTTCATTTTTAACTTCTTTATTTCTGTATGAATACTGAAACGTGTGAAGCTGCACAGGACCACCATGTCAGTTTCATTCACACATTTCAAACTTCTGTATTTCAGCAAATTGCCTTTCAGACTCAGAAAAAGGGGCCACTTCTAAAGGTCGAGCAGACCTGACAAGTAGGTCAGCACACAGGCTGTCACCTCATGTCACACACCTGTGCATGTTAATGTCACAGGGTTGAGGCTGAATACTCCCACTCTCTGCTGCTGTGCCTGAGGCCTGCCAATCTCAAACCTGTCTGATGCCATTCCTACATGGGGAAGAAAGCCTGAGGCACAACGGCCAGCCTATTTTTACACACACACACTCACGCACACACACACACACACACACACACACACACACACACACACACACACCTACATTTTACCAAAACTACTTACTGATTACACTGATTGGACTAAACCTCAGTTTTAACCTGCAGAAGAAAACAGCCCAGAATGGTTTTGCTTTTTTGTAAAAAAAATAAATAAATAATAATAAAAAAATCTAAAGTGCTTTACGTTACACACACATATGACAACAGTCATATATATATATATGACTGTTGTCGGAACAAAACCTTGTATCTCCAAAATGATAACTTTACAGGACAAAGAAAAAACTACTTTACTTTTAATGTAAGTCAATGAAACCAGACTTTTTTCAAAGTCATTTTAGGTAATTTCTTATGGTCCATTCTTTATGAAATTTACACACAATGTAAAGGACAACAGGCATTTTCAAATTATGCCAAAAACTGAAAAACAACAAAAATGAAGACACAAGGTTTTCTTCTGACAGCAGCGATTTTATATATTTATATATATATTTATATATATATATATATATATATATATATATATATATATATATATATATATATATATATATATATATATATATATATATATATATATATATATATATATATACACACACACACACACACACACACACACACATACACATATATATATATATATATATATATATATATATATATATATATATATATATATATATATATATATATACATACTGGAAACAACACATCCTCTTCAGGGAACACACTTAAACATGGCTTTTTTTCTGCAAGTTTAACAGAAAAAATAAAACAGGAAATATAAACTGTAGCAGGACACATTTTATGTTTTTATTCATTTTTTCCAAAATGTTAAAGTTATCAAATAAACAGTTATTGTGCAGAAGTGTGTTCTGTGTAGAGGATGTGTATTTATCAACAAAACTAAACTTTTTGCAGACGACCATGTATATAAATACATATACTGTCTATGTCCAAAAAAAAATGTATCTGCATTTTTTGAATTGTTGCTTTTCTACATCACTTGACCACAGCAGCTGATGAATGGAGCAACAGAAATGCTTGAAATAAAACCTTTCACATTCACTTCATTAAAAGTATAAAATAGTTTTGTTCTCTCCTGTAATCATTTTGGAGATTCTTATCTTTTTTTTAAGCGACAATATATAAATATGTGTTCAAAAGTCCACAGTTTTGAAAAATTTAAAAGAAAGAAAAGTTAAACCTGTAAAATTAAGAAAAAATTCCGCACAATTTCTAGGTCACTATTCAAATTTAAGCAAATTTGTGACACTGACCATGAACACAAAGGTCAGATTTTGTTTTATTCTTATCTCTTCTACTGAAGCTCGTGTTTAGACAACTTTCAGGTGGCTTTGACTGCTCATCAGAGGCTTTTGCACAAACTTATCAGCTGAAGCGGACAGTGACATTATACACAAAGGCCCATACAGGCCTACTACATACTAAGAAAGTCTGAAATTCATGTATAATTTAACTTTTCATGCAGTTTATTTTCCATTTCAGTATTAGCTGCAGCTCAGGTGGCATTTTCTGTATTTCCCAGCCTTTCTGTAGTCTAGTGAAGGCCTGGCTGACACACCCTCATGACCACCTCTACCGGTTTTTCCTGAAGATGTGCCCAAGGCTTATGGGGGAGCAGCTAAGGAAGGCTGAATTAAAGTGAAGGTTAGAGTGCTGCGCAGGCACAGGTGAGCTCTGACAACTGAGGGCTGGACGATCGAGAAGGTACACCTTTACTACACAAACCGGCCACGGAGACGGTTGCTTTGGTTATTTTCCCGCAACTAGGATGGGTGTGGAAGATTTCAGCCTGAACCTTGTTTGACGTCTGACTGCTCGCCGTGCCCTTCGCTCAGGTAAGCGCTGTGGCTAGGTAGGTGCTGTCATAACATGCAGAATGAATTCCATTTAATTGCACTATTTTTTAGAAACTGCATCAATGCCTGAAACCATAAGACTTTGTTGTAAAATTGCTTGTGTAGACGGATCATGGAACAAGAAATCATCATTTTTGAACAGGCAGTTTAGAAATACGCAATAAATAACAGGCCTTATTACAACAAAATCAAGATGTGCTGTCAAAAGCGTGGACATAGCCAACTGCTATTACTACTGTAGTCTAAGTGACCTTATTGAATGCTGATGATTGCCTCTATTCTTCTGTTTTACCTTGTTATTAGCCAAATGCAACCTTACAACTTTATCGGACCCATGACATAGCCCTGCAGAACTTTCTTAGATAAATAAGATAGATTTGAAGCTTATGCTGAATACAAGCCTATGCAACCTAAAACAACTCATAACCCTCATGATTTCAGGTGGTGTGACCAGCTCTGTTCCCGTCCCAAAACGCACAGATGCTGCTACGCACTCCGCTGGGAACCGTGGCTGAAATGGACACTTGAATTTCAGTCATTGTTTCTGGTAGTGGGCGCAGCAGATGATCAGCTCCACCACTTTCTCATGGAATGACATCACACCCTCAGGACAGAGGAGGAATGTGTAGGTGTAGGCCAGTCATCTGGCAGCTACTGTGGTGTTCTTCTCACAGTCTCTAGGTGGCAGCAGAACGAAACGCAAAGCATGTTTTTCAAGCTAGTGTTTCACAACTTTCACACCCGATTCATCTCAAGAAGCATTTGTATTTCAAATGAGCATATTACATCACGCAGCAACGGTCAGTAAACTGGAAATGTAAGATCTCTCCAACAGCAATGATCTTTAGTTCTTCTTTTGGACCCTATTGAGTTTGGGCTTTAGTTAACCAGCTAACTCAGAAATCCTTAGAAATACCCTCCAGGACTGGAGTTAGGAAGCTCCACTAAAGCTGTGCAGCTTTTAACACTATTATTCTGTAGGAGGAGTTGAGTTGGCACAGGCAAGAAGCCATGAATATCTCAGGCATGCAGGTGAACCAGCCTTAGACCAAGGTGCTCCTCCGCTCCCTAACTTCCTCATTCATTAAGGCGTTCTGTTTTTGCTCCGAGCCATCACAACATGGCTCATAGTACATCCACATTTCTTACGCTGCCATTCTCCCAAGATGACTTTCTGTTAGAGGCCTCCGACAAGCTCCAACAGCTCTCACTGACATCACCCCACTGTTTTCAGTTCATGTTTTCAATCATGCAACATGTTTGGTTACAGATAAATGTAGAAAACTATTGATATGCCAGTCCTGTGCAGATTGTAAATAACTAGGAAGCTAAAAATCTAAATAGATGTTTTACATGAATGGGGCTGTTGAAGATTCAACGGCTGAGAAAGTGGATCAGCATTGAAAGTGAAAAGTGAAAATGTAATAAACATTCAGAATGTCTCATGTTTCCAAACTGGTGATCAAATTTCAAGGCAGATGACTGTAAATACTCGGGCGTATGCAAAAGTTTGGGCGCTCAAACCTCAAATAACGTTATGTTGATTTTGTAAGTGAAATTTAGTACATGTTCTGCACATTTTAATGCACAGTCACTGTTTATTTGCTGAATCAAATATACTGGGTGTGAATGTAAAATGTTGCCTGTTCAAAAGTTGTGGCACATTTTATATCTTTTATTTTTTATTAAATTCTGCAACTAAACAGAAATTGTGCACCAACATTTGCAGAAAAGAGCATTTTAAGTTTGCTCTCTGTGAAGGATGGGTTCAATTATTTTCACTTAGACCAGGGGTGGTCAAACCTTTGCTGTATTATTTAATCATTTGATAACTTCCTACTGTCCTCAAGAACCTAAATTGTTGAATAAAACTACATTACATAAACTGCATTTTTTTGTGTGTAAACAATCAAAGCAAACGTGATTTAAAGGACTGTACACATGCAAAACTGAATATTTACACACATGGATTGATAGCAGTTGATAGCAACAGCCCTTCTTATGTATAGGACTGTATTTCATGGTATTTTAAAAGAATAGTGAAATTGTTTTCCAAAATCTAAACTTTTACAGTGAGGTCATGAACTACAATCTTGAATTTGAAGACTTGTGGTGCATTTCTTTATTGAGCCATCTGGGGTGCCAAGCATAAATGTGCACTGTACACTGCTGTGTCTGATCCACTCGCACCAGCACAACACGCACTAACACCACCACCACATCAGTGTTACTGCGGTGCTGAGAATGATCCACCACCCAAATAGTACCTGCTCTGTGAGGGTCCATGGGAGTCCTGACCACTGAAGAACAGGGTAAAAGAGGGTTAACAAAGTATGCAGAGAAACAGATGGACTACAGTCTGTAATTGTAGAACTACAAAGTGCTCCTATATAGTAAGTGGAGCTGATAAAATGGACGACAAGCATAGAAACAAGGAGGTGGTCATAATGTTATGCCTGATCGGTGTAGGTGCTAAAGAAGGAAACCTTGCTGATACAATATGTTTTCATAAGACTCAATTTTACCACTAGAGGGCTTTTTCAACCGTTCAAGCTTTATACAGGCTGCTGCAAACCCAAGCACACATCCTAGGTCTAAAAAAATAAAGTAAGAAATAAAAGAAAGAAAAAGATGTTATTTAAAAGTTATTTATTTGATATTTACATAAATGATACTCAATTGGCCAGTGGAAGCTATGAAAGAATGTACAAGATACAAACACTCATGGTAGGTCACAAGACATATACAGCAGCTGACTGCAGAACAAACGGGTAATATGGGTGCGACGTCCTCACTTCGAGCATGAACTGTACTGTCACACACACGCATACATACGCACACGGGGCTGATTTGCCCTTTTTGTTGTAGCCGTGTAGAAAATGTGTTTGTAAACCAGACGATATGAGATGCTGACAGTACTTGGAAGTTTTTTTTACAGCAACACTTTTGTCCCTGAAAGTAGATCATTTGGCACAGGGCCCGAACAGCCAATTACGTTCATAATTTAAACACATATCTGTATCAAATTCCAGAGTGCAATACATTACTGCACCAGCATCCTGACAGAGAAAGAAAAGAGCAGACAAGAATCTTCTCAGCTAGTCACCTTGACCATCTTAATATGTAGAATCATCACTGAAATATACATAATTGCCGATTCGATACAGTTCAACGAGAAAAATCTGTTGAATAATACTCAAGAACATTAAGCACAGCAACTTGGCAATACTTCCCTTCCACTTCTCTATTTTTTTAAAAATCATGCCATTCAGATGTCAGTTCACCAAGACAGACGAGTGTGTTTGTCTCTGTATGAATGTATAATGGAGGCATACAGTACTGGCCATTGAACATTGGTCTAGTATAGGCACTAATGATACCAAAGTAGAGTTAACTGATGCTCGTCTTTCAGTACAGGAAGCTACATATAGTCCACACAATCATGTCCCATTTGTCCAATGCAGAGTGTGGGTGGATCCCTATTTATAGATGCAGAGGCGCATAATCCCTTTAAACCGTGTATGACTGAGACAATTCTGGAATGTAGCAATGTGATCATGAAGATGCCTTGGGAAAAAAAAAAACGCTTGAGGAGCGATAAACATTTGCTCCTTTTCTGTCCATTTGTTGCATTCGTCTTTACAGGCATATTCAGCGCGCCCAATTCAAGGCAAGTTTGCATCCAAAACAGCAAGCAGAGAGACATTTTAATGGCCATGAAAATGAGTTCTGTTTGTCTTTTTGCAGTATTAGACTCATTTGTACTGGGTTGTGCACACCAATGTAATGTCCCAAAATAAATTACGACTTGAATATATGTGATTTTATACTTCATTCTTTGTTTTTTTTTTATTACAATTATACTAACAATAAATTAAAAATAAATAAAGAAAAACAATAAAGAAAAGCTGTGATGTGTGATCATTGGCTGTAAGCAGAGAAATTAAAATGAAATTTAACACTGGGCACTCTACCTTCAGTCAGCATGCACTCAAAGAGATATTATATACTATAGCTCAAAAATTTGGAATCAACTGTGTATATATATATATATATATATATATATATATATAGAGAGAGAGAGAGAGAGAGAGAGAGTGTACTTTTTATAGTAATTTTAAATAAGAGGCATCATGGATTTAACGGTATTATAACACTCCACAATGCTGTACAGCTTTCTCAGTCATTTTGGAACCATTTACTGTGTCCTCATCATTCTGGGTCTAAAAATGAATCAGACTCTATAAAACTGCATAGTATTCCCAACATCAAAATCATTTTACAAGTGTATCTGTAGAAGAACTAGTATTATATAACTGAAAACGCTGATTCCAAACTCTTAAGCAGAACTATGAGTGCACTGCTGCAATAAAAGTTGTTTTCAAACCTCAGGCTTGTGTTCTTTACTCTTGTGCATTGGAGAGCGTGACTAAACATTTCTCCTGAGTTTGAGCTTGATGTAGAATGATGGCTAATTTTAAGCATCAAGAGCTCAAGTACAGAGCTTAAAGTGACCCAAATGTCCTTTCTTCCTTCATTAATCAGAGTGAAGACAATATACTGGGCTTCCCATTAGTTTAAAGGTGGGATAACTTCATGGTTATTGGAGAACAGTAAAAAAGGAGACCTCGGGTCAAGTCAATAAACATACAGAAAGACCCCATTCATGTTTTTCTCCTTAACTTCACAGAAATGTGTTTCACTAAAAGGGGACAAGGTCTTAAAAGGGAGCGAGAAAAAGTGAAGAAGTTTTGGATAACACTATTTGGAGTGGTCCTTTGTAGATGATTAATAAACTCTTAAGAGAGTATCAGTAACACAACAACAGTAGCAGTAGTAAAGCATCTGAATACATCGAAGTAAATATGTTGTAGATGTTCGGTTGATACTTTACTTACATTAAGTAGATGTGTTGTTAATATGTTACTCCCATTACGCAAAACCTAACCTTACCAACCTTATCTAAAACTTAACCCTAACCCTGGCCCTAATCCTAACCTTAACCTCAACCCAAAACCTAACCCTAACCCTCATATGTTTTTGACATGTTACTGAGAGTCCACTGAGTGTTTGTTTCATCTAAACAGGACCACTCAAAATAAAGTGTCACCAAGTTTTGTTCTTTTAGAAGAGTGAGTGGGTGAGAGAAAGGACAGTGGAAGTGTACAAAACTGATGACCCTCTTAGTAGCAATGCAGAGAAAGGAGAGGAGTGATTCGCCCCCAACAAAACGAGACACATACGTAAACAGAAACAGTCCTGTTTCACAACAGTACAATAGATCTTGGGTCCATGATAAAAGACGCGTCATGTGATAAGTCCCAATGTCATGTGGAAATATTTCTTAAAGCATGAAATAAACGCAGACAAATAAAAAAAACATGGGGAGATAAAAAAACAAAAAAGTGAAAGTATATAAGTAACTAGCCAAAATCAGAGGTCAGTCTTTGAGAACAAAGTGATTTCTCTTTAAATCGGAATGTCACCCACCCCTTTGTCAGAAGGTTACGGCTGTCTTCAAAAAGTGAAGAGAAAAACAGCACAAACCATTAAAGGACAGCGACTGAGGCCTGGGTCACTGTCTGTAGTAGGCACCTATCGGACAAAGACGGCAAGTGTTAAAATGCATTCTCATCACAAAACGTAACAGTTCAGCAATGCTGCTTTACCAACCTTTGTAAGCAGCATCAGGTCTGGAAGGTGGCCGAGCTGAGTAATTCTCTGAATAGGCGTAACTACTGTCCACATTCTCATAGTTATGGATGCGAGGAGGAGGAGGTCTGCAGAAAGACAGATAATAAGTGTGGGGTTGCAAAATGATGCATGTTAAAAAAATGCGTATGAACGCTTCTGGTACCTGATTGGTTTAGGATTATTCCGAGCTCTTTGGTAGTCGTGCTCTTCTCGTGTTCGTGGACGCACTACGTCCTCCTGCACAGGCTGAAGCACACAATACACAACTGTTTACATCCAGCTACAGTTCTGTGCAGAAGTAAGATTCATTTATTTAATTTCCAGTCAAAATGATCATTGAATAGATGTTATTTTTCAGCATCAGAAAAAGTGCAGAAATATATATTGAACAGAGAGTTAAACAGAAGCCTCAACAATAACATTTTTTTTCAGGAATCCTAGACATGTTCAGTGATGCTGAGGTCCGGGTTCTGTTGTGGTCAGGCCATTGTTCAAAGAAGACCAGCAGCTTCTCTGTTTAATTTGCAAAGTTTCTTTTTTTCTTTTTTTGTCTATTTTCTTTTTTCAGTAAAGGCTTCCTCACAGCTACACATCCTTTCAGACCCACAGCATTGAGCTGTCTTCTCACAGTGGAAGGATTTTTTTCAGATCTAAAGCAAGAGCAGAGCTTGACTTCCTCCTCTCTCTCAGATATGAAAGTTTTAAGTGCTGTGTACCTGAGGAGGGCATTTTTGGTGGTCTACCAGGTCTTGCACGGTTGTGAAGAGTCTATTTTTTCCTATAGCTTTTATGAAACAGTTTTGATTTTTCACTTATTTCTTTGACTTCCCCCGTCCTTATGCAAGTGGATTCTCGTATATCTAATCTCAGAAATATTTCCAAGACTTGCACATTTTTATTCTGACTGGAAATTAAATAAATAACTATCTCTGACATTTACCATTTTGAACATCATGTTAGACATCGCTACAGGCTCACAAACATCAGCCAGTGTCATGTGAATTACCTTGTAGTCACCCTCAGGTCGCCTCTCCCTCTGCTGTCTCTCCATTGCCTGTTTCTCTTTCTCTCTAGACCTCTTCAACTCCCTTTTCTCTTCCTCCATCAGCCGTCGGGCTATTTCCTTTAACAGATAACAGCTTCTTTTTTATTTTTGCACAAATAATGGCATTAAAAACGTCCCACAAGAACCTGTAATACAAGTTAACCTATGAGAGCAAGTCTTAAAGTGGCAGTTCACCTACAATACCTTTATGGCTAAAACAGTTCTACCAGTTACCATAAAAGGACAATACCTAGCATCATAATAATTGCCTTAATAATAACACCATCATTTATTCACATGCAGCTGCATTAGCACTGTCTGAATGAACCACCCCTTTAAAGGAAAGGAAAACAAACATCAATTTATTTTGCTTAAAGTTAGAACACCACCAACCTCGTCTTGTGCAACTTGAGCAGCTCGTTTGTCAAGCCGACTTGCCTGCACAAAAGACAAATAAATAAGAGAGTGAATGGACACTGTATTTCTTTTTGTTCCTCACAAACATTTTTCCTTTATCAGGATTTATCCTGCATACTTTCAGTTCCTCTTCTTGTAGCCTGCGTGCCACCTCCATGTCCTTGAGCTCCTGCTCACGAAGGTCCATCTGTGCCAAACCTTGCGTTGCTTCCTTCATGCCATATTCTCCTCGCACAATTCGTCCTACAGGGGGCATCAGAGAGGAACGTACACAAACAACTGTTAGAGCTCACTTAGATTAGGGGTGGAGAACTGAGGGCCAGAGTTTGGTTATTTCCCTGCTCTGGCACACCAACTACACCTAGTAAATAAGTGACGAGCTGAATTAGGTGTGCTTGAGCAGGAAAATAACCAAACTGTGTATGAAACTGTCCCTCCAGGACCACAGCTCTCCACCCCAGACACTTTGTAATGCTCGACATGTACACAAGAACTGGAAGTGCAAACCTCAAGAAGTAAATTTGGTTTGAAGGATCACAAATCCAAACCAGGGTCTCTTATGATTTGACAATGACTTGGATTTCAAGAAACAAGGAAAGCCCTACAGATTCTGGACCACATAGCTTCTCATGATCACAATTACCAACCTGGCTTAGGCATGTATATATTTAATTTCATGGATTTTCACAAAACAGAGAAACCATATACCTGGTACATGTTGAACAGAGTAATCATCCATTAAGGGTGAAAAAGAAAACAAAAGAGGTTGGAAAAATGGTTCGGCAGCAGTCCCTCCACCAGTTATTGCTAGGGTACTATCACGAGCAAGACCTATCCGTATCGTCTGACAATCTGGTGTGCTTTGATGCTTTATGTGGCCAGGAACCACCTACTTTGAAAGGAAAGGTCCGATTTGTTTCCAAATGTCTTCCTCTGCTTGTGCTACATTTTTGTGCTCCTGATTTTTTGATTAACACCTGTGCTATCATCTTTAGCCTCCCAACATACATTAATTCAGTTTCCTTAAATGTGGCTGACTGTAAACCTGTCCAAAAACTTTTAAAGATACTTGAATATCAGGCGATTTTCAAAAACAGGGTTAGAACCAAAACAAACCAGTGGGCAACAAATTGGTATGGGTCAGCAAACACATCAGGATTTTTCACTTGAAAGCTACGAAATACTCCTGAAATATCCTGAATAACTTAAGGATGTTATGCTGTGAACTTTCTTTCACAAACCTTTTTCTTGCTCTGAAAGGCTCAGTCGCAGCAGGTAGTTCTATCTTTCCCATTAGACTGATAAAACCTGTAGCATGGAGGTGCATACGGACTGAGAGCCAATCAGAATGCTACTGGCAAAATCCTGACAGTTGCAGCCAGCTTAACCTAAAGATATCAGAGGTTCTGTGTATGTGTGAGGCCAAGATGAGGCCACCATCAAACAAACCAGAATTATAATCAGACCATTTGAGAAATGTATGTGTGCTTTACCCTGAATTTTCACAAAAGAAGAGAAACCATGATCCCCATATACACCGGACCATCCATCAAGTGGAAAAGGAAAACAGGAGATTACAGGAGGACAGTTTGGAAACAAGTCCCAGAAACATGGATTTGCAGCAAACCCATCACCAGTTTTCACACCAAAGACCCAAGCAGAAAAAAAAGCATAAGCACACTCAAACACATGGGCCCTTCTCCATACCTCTCTCCCTGGAGGGATGCCCTGGGGACCTGGGCTCACCAGAGTGACCTCTGGAACTGGGCTCCTCAAACCCATCATTAGAGCCAGAGCTGACCCTCTGCCTGCTTCCATAGTCCGCATCCTCCAGGCTCTGTTCTGACCAGGCCCTACTAGTTGAAGGTAAGTTTGCATCATCCAGTTCTCGCCCTCTGCTTCTGTCTCTACTCCGATGTTTTTCCCTGTCCCTGTCCCTTTCTTTGGCTCCATGTCTGTCTCTTTCTCTGTCTCTGCTCTTAGCTCTACAGCCATTTCTGTCCATGTCCTGTTCCATTTCTGTGCACCAATATTGGTCTCTAACATTGTCAAGATTCAAGGACCTGTCTTGACTTCTATCTCTATCTTGATATTGCACCTTATCCCTATTTCTCCTTCGGTCCCTTTCCCTTTCTTGATCTCTGTCCCTTCTCCTTGCCTTGTCTCTCTCTTTATCCCAGGCCTTGTCCCTGTCAACTAGGTCATCCCTGTAAGGTCTCTCTTTCAGGGGCACCATGGGTTCCTGGTCATAACAAGGTTCGGCCCACTGGTCCTGGGTCTGGTTTTTCTTGTCTCTTCGATGTTCAGTATATTCTGCTTCAATGTGCCTGTTTCTTTCAGACAAGTATTCGTCAGGGTACTTAGTCCTACCCTCTGAGGTGTGGTGTTCAGGCCGTCTGCCCTTTCCATCATGTCTACCTCTGGTACCTTCAGAGTTATAATTCTCTGGGGCTCTTGACCGACCAGTTTCTGCAGGGTAATATTCAGCGTATCTGTCCGGTCGTCTTTTTTGGTCCAGTGCTGGAGACCGGTGATCTGGTGACCGACCTCGATCATGGTGCCTTTCCCTGCTGGACACTGGCGAATCAGAGCCGGGGTGCTGCATGCGTGGGTCTGGAGAGTGTCGGTAAACTGGTTAGGAGCAGGTGTAGAGAAAACCAAGTAGTGTAAAATGTGGAAAAAAGTTTGAAGGATATACTGAGCTACGTTAGTTGACAAAAGGTTAGTTCAATGCACACTGCAGAAAGTGCAAGGTCAAACATGGCTAGGTCTATCAGGACCTCCATGACTTTGAATACACAGTTCATATGCAGGCACTGAGGGAGACATTCTAATATTTAACCAGGGTTTAATGGGTTGTTTATAATGAGAGCCGTTATGGGCATTCACACCGCAAAAGCTGTTTCACTTGGTAAGTGTTGGGGCAAGAGTGGGACAACTGTTGCTAAGGTAAGTAAATATGGCTAATCAGCAACTGAGTAAGCCATATCTCATAATTTATACTTTTACACACCATTATTGTTTACAAAATGTTGAATATATTTTTATATAAGCCTTTTTCAGCAGGACACAGTCATATCATTGCATTGTTTTGCACTACAAAAAGATTAGCACATAATATTAAAACAGTACTGAAACTGAACTGTTTTTTTATCCAATGGACCGTAAACACACTAATGTGAAGCCTGTATCCTTGGATACCTTGTACAGAACTGCTAAATAATCACTGCATCATTTCATATCCAAAGTGATGGAATGCAAGAAAACTTTAAAGATACATAAAAAGAAATGTTAATGTACAATGTTAGCACGTTTATTGGGTTAATCAGTATTAGAAGCAACTTTAGGCCAGCTTTTGGAGATCAATGAGCACTGAATGAAGTGTGTTATGCTGGAGTGGTTGTGAACTAGTACAGGGTTCATTCACATTACTGGTGGGTGGGGTTTATATGAAATGCCTAGTATAATGTATTGCTACGCTAAATACTAACCAACTGATAAAGCACTCTCTAACACCAGTGCTGCATGACTTATCTAAATCTGTCACTTCTTCCTCCCAGACAGAGCAAAGCAAGGCGAGATGCTCCTCCCACGCTTCCCGTTCTAGCTGTGAGAGCTTAAAATTTGGGTATTTAAACCTTAATGCTGGATCCCCCTCCTCACTTAGACAGGGAGGAGAACTACACAGCACAGCAGAAACGCTGCTGGCGAGATAAACACGCACACCAGTGTGCAAATGGGGCTTAACCATGCTGTAGTGGTATTCACATTAAAATCGAGAGGAGGGAGACATAAAGAAAGAAAAGCAGCTCTCGTCTGCTAAAGATATTCCACCAAATAAGGCTGAGACGGTGAATGTTTCCTGCTGTGTGTGTATGTCAGGTGCTTATCTATGCCTCTTTATAGAACAGGGTACTGAGAAAAAGGAAGAGTGTGCGGTAAACAAGAACAGGAGCCTTCGTTTAGGCTGCACCTGCACTTTCCATCTGTTCACAATACAGTCAGGTACGGAAAAACCTCAAAGAAAATACGTTTTAAACTGCATTCAGACAAGAGATTAAGTGGCAGATCTGAAAGGAGTGCTTGTGTACCGAGGCTCATGGTTCATATGGGTGGAATACCAGCACTCAGCGAATCAGCGTTTCAAATCCACAGGCTAGCCTGGGAGAAAACGGTTGTTGCGTAACATTCAAGAGCAAACACAGGCGAACAAGGGCAGCCTAGACGAGAGGGTGGGGTCAAAAGGAATAATGAAACGCAATCTCGCTTTTCCAGTTTCGTATCACTACACTGACGTTGAGCCGTTTCAATCAGCGGCAGTGGTTAAAGTGGCTGGTCAGTCCACGAGAGCCCTTGTAAGATGTTTGGTAAACACGCAGACTTTAAAACTAACATGTGGTCACCTCGGCAGGCGTCCCCAGCACTTTCACAACAAACACCCACCACTCTCTGCAGTGCCTGAGGCTCTTAATAGAAACAGAGCGGTGTGGTTTGCTGTAGTGTAATGTGATGTACAACACACAAAGGCTTTAAATACACAGCTTTCCCCTCAAATGTAGTCAATCAGCCAAGATATGTTTGGGGTCTGAATCTTGCTTCTTTTGTTTTGCACTAAAGCTACGAAACTAATCTAACAAACAAGAAATGAAAGCTCATAGCCACGATTTAACACTGAGCAAACCGCATGCCTAAATCATCACACACATGCTTGTGCTGACTTGCTAACAGAGCTTAACTGAATATCAGTAGACTGCAACTGTTGGCTGACGTTGATGACCCACAGCTTTATAATGTGCCTATAATTACCGACTTTTTTTGATCGCACCATCAGTAGGATGTGTTCCTGAGAATAAGGTGGAATTTTAAATGGTTGTGCAAACAGGAGCCCAATGTGAGTCACTTCATGATTAAATAGATGACAGCAGTACAGGCTGAATGGGTAAATCTGAACATAAACAGTCATCTTAATTAAAATAAAAAAACAGAAAAAACATACAAAATGTACCCAAACCTAATCTTTAGCATGAGAATGGCATGCTATAACACTAAAAAAGAGAACTAATGAAAAATAATAAAAAATAACTCTAAATAATTCCTAACAAAAACAAAAACCACAAATGATTGGGGCTAGCTCATGTCCCAGTGCTGCAATATTTATGAAACTATGAAACCAAATATATATTAACTTCTGCTACCTATTTGAGTTTAAGAAGTGTGACTGTTAAAGTCTAGCAATGATTCCAGTCAGTAAAGCTCTGTTTAACTAAAACTGTTGGGAGTATAAGACTGATATCAATGCTATAAATATAAAACTAGACCGCCCCTATCGCCATTATTAGCCCATTAAAATCAGAATCGGCCACAAAATTTTCATATCGATCAGACCCTGGCTGTCGAACAGATGTGGAAGCAACCTCCAGATTCCAAGCATGTCTTGACAGACCGACTACATTTGGGGTATGGGTAAGATTGTATAACGCCGCATTCAGAAATCAAGTCCCTCAATGCTCTGTGTAGGAGAGCACCTGCATAAATGAACACAACACTCTCCAAAACATGGATGTCAAGCTTGGTGCTTTACCCCATAGGCTGCTAATTCTCTGGGATTCATTCACTCCAGAGCTAGAGGGCACTCTACACACCTCCTCTGTCTTCATAGTACTGCTCCTCAAAGTTCGCCTCCAGGTGCTTCTGCCTCTTCCTCTCCTCCTTCATTTCTCTCTCCTGCATCTTACGAGCAATGGCCTAATAACATAGAGATAGAGAAAGAGAGAGAGAGAGATGTACTGAGTCACTTTAGAGCATAACATCAGGTCTTTGTCATGTATACTGCTGGTCATATACATCAATAGTTTTTCCCCGACAAAAAAGAAAAGGAAGAGTAGCAGAAATGTGACACTGTAAGAATGAAGTTGGTGTGGACTAAGTGACATTTCTGTAGGTAACAGACACTATGTGGGGCAGTCTGAGACTGAAGGAGTTGGTGCTCTCTAACCTCATCCTTCTCCTCCTGCTGCCGCTGCTGCTCAGCCTGCCAGACCAGTTGTTCCTGAATCTCTTGAGCGATTTCACTGTCAATGCGTTCACTAAAGATAAAAGGAAGAAAATCAACTGAAAACAAACATCAGAGAGACAACATGGTTCACAATGCTATTACACAACACTTCACCTTCCTCCAGTCATATCCAGTTAAAATCACAGTCCTATTTATGTTGTAGTCATAAGCCTAATACTCAGATGTTATTGTAACAATCTGTTAAATTTTAAAGTCTCATGCTGTAGTGAATAAAGAAGAAAATCTTCTTTCTACAAATTTAAAACTTAACTTTCTCCAATATATTTTTAAAACAAATCCTGAAGCTAGGAAGACACTTTATATTCGCCTCCCCTACTGCATGCACAAGCCTATTTTCTGAAAATGTCAACATTTGCCTCAACTGTTTCTCTAAAATGATCTAAGGGATTATTTATAGTGCTTTAAAAAAGTATTAATATGGGACCAGATTCAAATGAGGCCCACTCTCTTCTGCTCCGGATGTGGGAGGGGGACAGCTTCAAAGCATCAACATCAGAAGCAACCAATGAAGCCTCAGACAGCTGGGTTTTATTCACATATTACAGCAGTGAACTACTGAAATGGACCAAAACAAAACTGTAGTTTGTGGTGGTTTAAACTGTGTAAAAAAGCTTGTTTATGGGTTTTTCTAAACACAATGTAAACAAAGTGTAAAAGGAACAGAGAGTATCACACGATCAGCAACAGAATGCAGGACTGATTAAAATCTGAGCTGTTCTGTTCTGACAGATGGATGAACAAAAACTGCGACGTCAGTATGATGTGGTCTTGCAGAGAAGGTTGTTCTGCATAAGACCTGAAAATAAACATCTCTGCTGCTCACTAATCCGCTGAATTGTACAGAGTAGTACAGTTACAGTCATATGCAAAACTTCAGACACGCCAGGTTAAATTACATGTTTTTTTTGATTCCATAAATGAAAATAAATTAACAAATTTACAACAGCGAACTTACAAAAAAAAACATAATACAAGACCTGTGCAAAAGTTATGGCACATTTGATGTTATTTTTTTGCAATATGTTACATTCTGACGTATGTACATAACATTTATTTTTTCACTACCATGCAGGTGCAGAGGCGCCACTATATACACATGGTCTTCTGACAGATTGCAGTATAGTACAGTATGTGTTAAGGGGGTTTTATGGTCTTAATTGTTTTGCTGCACCAATGGTCTATAGATTAATCAATTATAGAAATAGTCATTGCAGCCCTACTTGATATGTGCTCTGTTATTCAGCAAATAAACAGTAATTGTGTAAATGTGCAGACGCGTGTTCTCTGCAGAGGATGTGTTAACTTATTTTCACTTAAGAAATAAAAATAAAAAAAAAAGACACAAAACATCTTCATTTGATCAGGGATGCCCAAATAAAGGACATATCAACTAGGGCTGCAACTAACAACTATTTATAGTCTATTATTCTGTTTGTTAACTCAGTCTGCTGTTGCAGTTCAATCTAGGGGGAAAATAGATGGTGCAACAAAATAAAAAAAAGCCATATCGCTTACAACGATAGCTCTTCTCTAGTACTGCAAACTATCAGAATGACCATGTATATGTTGTGCAGTTGTGGCATGCAAGGTAGTGGCCACTCATTTGCATACCCGTGAGCCCCTGTGGCTGCCTGCTGTTAAGCTACTTTGTGTCTTTGTTTTATAGAAAGAAAATGTTAGCTGTTAAAAAGGTATGTCTTTCTTGCTTGTCTGTATCCTTACGGGTTACATCAGCATGTTGTGTTGTGTGCGTTCTGTGTTTTTCCGTCAGCGGGAGTCTGGCAAGTTTAGTTTAGCCTCCTGCCGGCCCCCATAGCATTTGGCTAACCACCAAGGATTCAGTTTTGTGCTGTAAGAGTGTACTGCCAACAAAAAGCAACGTGGTCAGGCCTGTGTTGTTTTTGCTTCTAAATAAACAAACAAAACATTTCTGGAAAACAGGAACCTTTTCCTACTCTCAATCTGTATAAATGCACACATTAAGTACAATTCCATGGTGCAGTGTCATGTCTTTGCAGCACTGGTAAAGCTAAAGTCAGCGCTGCAGTTCGTTCTCTGCAGTTACACTTAATGTATGGGCTGCTCACATGTCTTTGTGCTGCCTCCGGCTCTGGGCCTTGGCACGCAGCTCCTCCTCTTCCTGCAGACGCTTGGCCACCCGAAGGTCCTGCTGCACCAGCTTGCTCTTGTGGACATTGGAGGCAAGGTGGCTCTCAACTGGTCAGGTGAACAAAAGAACAAAAAAAAGAAACACTTCAGTCACCTCACTGAGTAGGGAGGTAAAAATACAGTGCATCATAATGTTTCATGTTATTGTGTCTAGCATCAAAATCTACCATACTTTAAGAAATGACTTTGGAACGGCCCTCACAGTCCCCTGACTTGAACCTCAAAAAATTGAAATTCTGGGGGAAGATGCTTTGCAACAAGACGGCTAAAGATTATCGCAGAACTAAAAGAGTGGGTGAAAATTCTCAAAACAGGAATACAAAGACTCCTTGTTGGTTCCAAACAAAAATGTTTGCAAACTGTGATATATGCCAATAGGGGTGTTACCAAGTACTGACTTCATAGACTGTCCAAACTTTTGCACCAACCACAACTGATCTTGTTTTTTTTTTTTTAAGTTATGCAAATATATATTTAATGTGGCACAGGTGCACAAACTTTTGCATACAACTGCATTCCTAGTCAAACAATTAGCTTTAATGTATTTGTCGGTCTGTAGTAATTCGTTATTTGCACTTTAATTCTGTAACTCTGGCTCTGGTGTGGCAAAACTGCAGTGATTAAAATGTTACCACACTTTAGATAAAGGTGTTCTCTCTGTGTGTGTGTGTGTGTGTGTGTGTGTGTGTGTGTGTGTGTACACAAGTACAGGAATTCCAGCAGGTAGTAACTGCAAAATTTACACTTTAAAATAAAACAAGGCACAGAAATTAGACAATCAGCAACCACATCAATCCTCTTGTTAAGTTGTGTATGATGATGCTGTAGAGCTACACAATGTGTTGCTAGACTAACAGCAAGGATGTTCACTATTGATCCAATGTAACCCTGACAAATACATCTATAAGTACAAGTGTAGGGCATCTAAAATAACAAGGCAAATTACATCACATCCTCTGTCTTAATATCTGTTTTCAATCGATACTGAACACATCCTGGATTCTACAAAGGCACCTGAGAATAACCAAGGCTGTTATTTGAGACAGCAGCGCTGTGGTGTCAAACTGCATTCCTGCAGAGAAACACTGCAGACTGTTTTCTTTGCTCTCACATACCTGATGAAACTCATGAAAGGCTTGTAAATTGGATGATGAGTTGATTTAGGTGTGTTAAAGCAGGGAGAACAGTGAACACTGCATTGCTGTGGCCCCCAGGAATGCTGTCGGACACATGCGCACTTCAGTAACTGGGAGTAGCTCATACAAAGCTGCTTTGTATGCACACTGTCATAATGTGAAATATTAGACTTACTGACTAGATTGAAGATGTTTTTTTTTTTAAACATCTTCAATCTGATCAATATATCTAATATTTCACTACTACATTTTTGTAATAACATTAAAATAATCTGACATTTTTAGACCTTTTTACTTGCTTTAAGTAATTATCTAAAGAATATGTAATGTTATTTTTACATAATTTTACAAGTATTAAATATTGAAGATCACTGGCAGCTTAAAGAAATAATGCTTCAAAAACGAGCAAAAAAATCGTCAGTTAAGTAAAATACATCTAAAAATAATGTCAGCAAAAGAAATATTAGACATATTTAAGACATTTTACTTGCAAAAAGTATTGTATATATACACTTAACAAATATGTGACTTCTGAATTCTGAACAATTTTCAAGAAAAACATTCAGGCCATTTTTGCTTCTTTGGGAAGTATAAAAAAGCAAGGTAACTTTTTTTTAAGGAACACATACTGGGAGTTTATTAGGTTTTGTTGCATACAGTTTATTTTGGCAAAAGTTGTGCTTCCTCTGTTTAGTGGTTGTATATTTGCTCTAAGGCCTCATATGTTAAAATTTTTGTAAAAATAATTCTGTTGTTCTGATTTTTGCTTGTTTTTGCTCTTGGTAACATCTTATTTTAAGGGCCACATATCGGGTGTTATTCTTTGTTCAGTATAACCCATATCAGACGTTTCTAAATGGTTTATTCAGTATGCAATGAGCTTTCTTCATAATAATATCTATTAGAATGTAGTTAAAAGGTCTGCTTGTAAAAATTTGCATAATAAAAAAATGCATAATAATCATTTTGTTTTGGCCTTATTATACAAATTACTGATCATGAATAAATCTTATTTGTGTCAACATTTTACTCCAATAGGCTCTAGCTGGTGTCAGCTGACTCACTGCATTAGCACTAATTAATTTAATAAACCACCAAATATTCAAGATGCATGCAATATTCTGAAGTAGAGTTTTACTCATCACTAATTGGTGGCTAAAAGCACTAAACAAGATTTCAATTCAATCTGTATGGCAAATTCAATACCCATGATTTTTTTATAATAGAAAACATGCCTTGAAATTATCTTTACTATAGAATCTGTGATGCAAAATAAATGAGCTGATTGACTTAAAACTTGTTTAGCTCAGTTTAGCCTGTAACTACAACTATACTTTACAATATCTAAAACATATTAAAGCATTATTGACTTAAACTCTTATTTGCTCTAAAGCAGTAAACTGCAGCAGTCATCTGACACTACAGAGAACGTGCAGGAGTCAAATGTCATAATGAATGAAGCCTAATGCAAAGTGAATTAACCAGCATGTGTTCTTTATACTGGTTCCTTAAAACACCGTATTACCAAAAAGGCAAAAACAGAAGCAAAAAAGAGAAAAGGGACCCATTTCATAAAACTCCTAACTCGATATTTTAAGTTCCAGATCAGGCACAGAGCCACTAAACAGAGGAAGCAAAACTTCAACCAAAAATACATTGCCTAAATTTAAGTCTGAGCCATTTTCCGAACCACAGCAATTCATGTGATCTGTGAAACTGGCATAAAGCTGTCAAGTCTATTTAAAGGGATTATCAGATATTTTTCAGTGCAGATAAATTGATGCAGAACAACACTTCAACCACTGACCTTTATTCCCACTAATATCAGCAACTGCTAAAACAGCTGCAACAGCTTTATGGACTGCAGCTAAACAGAAAGCACAATAAAAATGCACATATCATGTGATTTACTTGACTGAGGCTTCCAGCACTGCTGTAATGTACTGATGTTGCATTACTGTCACATTTTGCTTGTAGTTCTTGACATCAGGCCACACTGTAATCATCTGGGGATACAAATTTTAGCACTCCTGTCATCCCTTTTCTTGTTATTGCTGCTGTAACATGTCAAACCTGTTACAAGTTGTAAGAAATATCGATATCTAGGAATTTGGGGGGCTGAGGGCGCACCACCAGGTTTTCAGGATTGCAACTGCTAAAAATAAAAATAAAACATTCTGAACTTCATAATGTCCTGAGTGTAGTAAAGACCCATATGTGCTTGTTTCAGAGTGGGGTTTGTGTTGTTTTATATCTTATTTATATCCTTTATTTATACATTTTAAAAACAAGCAGTAGTCATGCAATATTTAAGTTAACACTGTACTTTCTTCACAGTGAGCCAACAGCTGTTGGTGGCTCTGGGGCTGTGTCGCTAAACACAAGCAGGTTGAGGATGAAAAGCAAGTGTATGTAGAGTTAAAAGGCAGGTCTGCACCCCAAATCAGCCTAATAGTAATAATGAATGTTAAGAATGTAATAATAAAGCTTTTATCAACCATTATATTTCCTGTTGCTTTCAGGTTCAAATCTTGCTGTGTGACTGTGGCTGTGACATAATCGGTTACAGAGACACAAATCTACAATCTGATTGGTCACCACTCAGCACATTTGCATAAAGTTCGTCCAGAACGAGAGAGCAGAGTGATGTCGTGCGTCAGTGATTTGATGAGTCAGTTATACGTATATATTGTCATCTCTCGCCTCAATATAGTGCTGCATTACACATTCTCATGTAAATCAGCTCATCCCCCCCCCCAAAAAAAAATTAAAAAGACATAATTTTACATGATGTCATCATTCATATCATATATATGCTACTTAAAACATCAGCACACCAAAACTCTGGATGTCTGGATATAACATTGCTGACATCAATCAGACCCAGTTAAAGGATGTCAGGACAGAGGCTTTAACTTTCACCCATCCTTTTACAGTGCTATGCACAGCAGAGGCCAATGTTATGTCTAAGTTACTCTGTATATCCTCATGACCTCAGAGATAACGAGGAGCGCATGCTCTGCAGCGCAATAAAAACCATGTGCGACTGAGCTTCTGCCAACCAGCCACACGCACGCACACTGAGAGCTCAGCGAGCTAAATTTTCAGCCAATTTTCAGCTGTGAGGGAGAGCAGACGCAGCAGGCTGCATTTAAAATAATGCAGATGTGCAGAGAAAGTGTAGATTCACCACCAGAGGGGTGGCTCTGCTGTTACTGCGGCCACAAACCGCCACACCGCCGGCCTGCAGAACAGATAATGAAGGAGCTCGAGTTTGAGGTTCTTTCCACTTACACAGTGGTTGTATGTCTTGATTTCCTCAGGGAAAAGAGGAGCAGCATGGTGGAGCAGTAAATCTGAACCGTAATGGCAATTCTACTGCCAACGGTTACGGTCAGATGCAAAAGTTTAGGCACCCCTGCTCAAATTATATTTTGTCGATTTGAAGTAAAAATAAGTTAACACATTCTCTACAGGGAAAACCTGTAAAAATGACATTTTCTGAAAAAATTTAGTTCACAATTTCTATTTATTTGCTGAGTTTAACATTTTGGAAAATGAAACATAAAATATAAAATGTCTCATAACATTTGCAGAGGCCACATTTTATGTTCTATGTTTTTGCGCAATGTGTTAAATTCAGTAAATAAACAGTAAACTTGCATTATAACGTCCAGATGTGTGTTCTCTGCAGAGGATTATTATTATTTTCACTTAGAAAATCGACAAGTAGCAGTGTAATTTGACTGGGGCACCCAAACTTTTGCAAACAACAGTACTTGATTTAGGACAGCTGCAGTTAATGTATCTGGGATAACAGCACGTTTGATGCATCACAATTAAGCATTTCTATTTATACAGCACTGCTCACATAAATATTCTAACAAAGCTTGACCAACAAATCCCAGACGCATAAAAAGCATTTCTAAAGTGGGCAGGATGAACGTATAGTACTGTTAACTGAGATTAAAGATAAGGCTGGGGGGGTATCAAATCAGCCCCTTCCCCAAAATGTAGTCTGAAATGTCTGAAGTTTGCTTTTTTCATTTACTACTGGAGCTTCGAGGCTAATGTTGCTAAGTAATGGTGAACAACTAGCACTGCATACCTACATCATTTAATTAGTATAAATTAGTTTTAAACAGTGTTGAGTCAATACAGTGTCATGTAAGCGTGTAATTATTTAGGCATGCAGGTTGTGCAGTGCTACTGGTGGGGTACAGGCCTATGCTTCCATTACTCACAGCTCTAGCACAAAACATGCCTTGGACAGTCAACATTTGGTATATAAGGAACATTGTGATTTCAGTTGATTTTTTTTGTTGAACAGTTCGTTTAATAATCAAGAATCACAGCCTCATGAACAATTGTGAGGATATAGCAGGGCTGCACGATTCTTAATTAAATAGCAATCGAATTTTTTTTGTCATTCAATTTTGTCTAAAACAATATGTATATTTAGAACACATTTAATAAATTCTTAAAAAGCCACGTGTAGTGGTATGAAAAAATTTGGCTGCCTATAGTAAAATGACGTTTTGTTGATTTAATAATGCCACATTTTTTATTGTATGCCCTATTTAAAAAAAGAGAGAGATTTTAAGAGATTGTGCACTTAAATTGGCAGAAATAAATGCAACAATTAAGTGAGTTCCCTGTAGAGGATGTTAACTTACTGTCACTTAGAAAATCAACAAGTAATTTGACCAGGGGTGTTTAAACGTTTGCATATGACTGTATAATAGCAGCTCAGACATAAATACAAACCATTACAACAAACATATATAAATGCATAAAGGTGCACAACGATCTCAGAATCATATTGGTATCGACAGTTGATTAAAAACAGACAGATGTTTAGATTTGACGGATATGCTAACTGATATCAGGTGATGTATTTACTGTACTACAGAATGACATAATATACATATTACAATTAACAGCGTAAACTATATACTATATATACAGAGCATATAATATGCATAAAACCAACAGCACAATTAGTCTAGCGCAAGCTTGCTTTATATACAAAAATAATGCAGCACAGCAATAAAGCGGAACATGAGTGACTTGAAAAAAACGATGCTTGAAATTATGAACACGACAACCACCCGTCCCTTCCATCACTCTGTTGTGACAGTGACGTGACCACCTCAGTTAGCATGCTACCACAGTGCTGTGGTAAACATTGCAGACCCGTCAAAATCATGAAATTTTTGTTGATGACTGTCACATTAACAACTGCAATCAACAATTCGATTTTCTTTTTGTTCACTATATGCAGGTATTAAAGTACAAGGCTAGCATGGCTGAATCAGGTGTTTAGACATATTGCTTCCTAGTTGTGTATCAAACAAATGTCTACAGTTACACAGAATCACAGGTAAAGTCAAAGCTATGTTTTGACTTCACTGCAAGCACACATGCTAAAAACGTTAGAATCAGCTACACAGCTAGCAAATAAACAAATATTGGACCTTTATTTTTTTATGAGTCCCATAGTGCATCTTAATGAATGCATTTACTGATTTTTATTTATATTTATTTGTCTCAATCCAACACCCCCAATTCACATTTTGCTTGTTGTGGCATAACATGACCGAAGTCTAATGACAAATGCAGTGGAAAACAAATGCAGTACGCTTAAATATCATCTCAAATAATTGTGATACAGTTTACTGAACTGAGTGCCACAATTTCTTTATTCTCTTTAACAGATATGCTGAGATTGACCAGTGCACTTACTTTCTTGCTCTTGAAGGTTGTGGGCCAGGCAGTGGTCCTCTAGCACAGCAAAGTCTCGACACACTGTGGAAAGAAACACAACACCTTAGTCATCTTATTAGTGTCATTCCCCAGCTCTAGGAATTCAAACTACTCTTAGGAAATCAGTATAACAACATTATTTATGGTCTTATGAGAACATTCTGGACAAATTAACTACAGAATAAAATAACAACAGCATTTCACTCTCCACCCTAGCTTTAAAATGTCAGTGATGCAATAGCCACACATTTATTTGGAGAAAATGACTGTTTACAGTTCTACAACACAATTCTGCTACCCACAACAAAGCCCTTTCTAAGAAAGAGTCAGGAAAGCAGCGTCCAGCTGTGTAAAATTATGTCACTGGAGGCTAATGCTGTCCACCTCCTGCCAATAATGCCTAAAAGCGGGAAAAAAAGAACACACATTACACATTTGACATGCTTTCTTTTCCAGGATTTACTTATGCAGAGACATTCAGCAGCAGGAGCTCCACATTTTAACCAAGCAAACACATTTCAATACATTCTGCAGAGCACAGGTTTCCTGCCTGAATTTAAACCCTCTTTTCGGTGCAAAAGTGAGAAGTGGAGCATAGAAGTGGCCTATCCGAAAAAAGACTCCAAGTGTGGGGTGGACAGCATTTCCTAAGACATTCAAAGAAGCATGACAAAGTCACAAAGAGCACTGTAACACATTTGTGTAGCAGACTTTTCTTATTTCCTCAGTTGGTGAGCTTGTTCACTTTCAGTTCGCTTAGATCAAAGCTCTGATGCATCGAAAAAGGAAAGAAAAAAGAGACCAGATGCACTGGAGGGTAACAATGCTGACAGTGGTTAAACACAAGCTATAAATACACTGTAGGCTGGCGCTATGTTTATAATTCAGACAGATTAGCACATCATATGCACGCATATTCCACATGGCAGTTGAATGTACAGTAGAATGTATACAGTACTGTGAAAAAGTGAGAGACCACCACTTTATTTATTTAATTAATTAATTTGAGGTTATTCATTTTTCATTTGGGGGGGGGGCACTAATATTTTACAGAAAATTACACTACAGAACAACACAAAATATAGCATCAAACCTATCAGTATTTTTGTACTCAAACACATTTTAACTGCCTTATGTGTGCGTTTTCTCTGTTTTTCTCTCACGTGCAACTAAAATGGCCAGATACTTCTGAGGAGATTTCTGTTCATTCTTCCACTGTGAGAAGACAACTCAACGCTATGGGTCTGCAAAGATGTGCAACTGTCAAGAAGCCTCACTGAGAAAAGGACACACCTGAACCTTTACACCTGAACACTACAACTGGGCATCTGAGCTGTGGAGTAAGGTTTTGTGGGTGTTATGAGTTTAAAGTTTAGAGATTACTCAGATTGTAAAAAGCAGAAAACCAACTTCTAAGACTGAACTTTGGAGGTGTGGAAAAATATCCATGCAAACGGACAGCAAGTCTCCTGAGACGAATGCTAGCTGTAATAAAAGCTAAGGGCTGACACACCAAACACTAAACAACATAGATATTATATTTAGTTGTTGAGGCTTGGGTGTAATTTTCTGTTAAATATACATTTTCTGCTTTTTTCCTGACTCTAAAAAAATGAATAACTTGTATTTAATGGCTGTTTTAATTGGAAATGAAATAAATAAAGGGGTGGTCTCTGTTTACACAGTACTGTACTTATACTATAGAATACCGATCATCTTCAGCTAGGTTTGACTGCATTTCAGTGTGCCCTATCTAAACATGCAAACTATCTGAGCCTAAACAGGAAACAGCATAAAGGTCCCAAAAAAATCTGACTTCCTAATACTGTAAAAAGAGTTCTGAAACTTACATTAGTGTCTGTTTCAAATGACAAACAAGCGTTTGTTGCTGGTTGCACTGTGACTTTAGGCAACATAGGCAATTATACATTTCCTGATAGTACAGATTTGATCTTGTGGTAAACTGGCTGCGTCCTTGTGTCGGAACTCGCTAAGGCACGAGAGGAGGATAACAGTAAGCCACGATTACAGACCAGTGATTAAACATATCCCCATCTGGTGCTGAGCTCTGGGTTAACTAAGCCTTATTTGAACGTAGCAGACAAAAGCACTCAAAAGGAAATTAAACAGGCCTGAAAACAATAACTGGTCTTTCGTTGCCAACATCAAAAGAGCAGCTTAACAAAAGCAGTATATGGGCTGTTACACCAATACAGCTTTTTAATTGCACTGACTACTCTGTGAGATCAGTCGTATCATGAGTTTCGCCTTAAAATACTACATCCACTTACGTTAGTTTTGGCTATTAGGCGAAGATTTAAGCTAAAAAGGAAGTAATCAGAGGATTAACTTGAAAAATGAAGGGCTCAGGTCTAATACAGGAAGTGCTACTCATTCACAGTATCATCTGGTTTAAAAAAAAAAAAGCCTAGATTATATTTCAGGATTACCAAAAGAATCTGTGGGCCAATGCTATAGCAGTCTATAGGAGAAATGTAAGCCAATCTATAGCAGAAGTGCAAGATAATATCAGAATCATATCAGTAATGGCAGACAATTGCTTTAAAAAAAATAACAGCAGAAGAGAGATCTATTACTCTATTACTTTTACTATGCTCATAACTCTGCACAATGGTGATACACCAATATAGGAAATGTGGGCCGATGTCGATACTGGATATTTTTCACCAATGTCGATACACAAATGCACAAATTGGGACTAGATCCACCTTAATTACCATTATAAAGAAACATAGCATTTATTTCTGTAGGGTTATAAATGCAGTTATAAGAATAAAATGCAATCAATACATTAAATTTACATTTGAAGTAAATATCTGCTGATACTGATATGATTCTGATATCATTGTGCATCAATGCTTGACAAATAAAAATTATATTTAACTGTAATGCTAATCCAGGTAGATTCAGCCCCAGTACCTATATAAGAGTTCATGTTTCTGCACTGGCAGATATCTACATAAAATATCAGACGTCAGCACAATTCCCACATGGTGCTCCCTTAATCTATAACATATAACCACACAGAAGTCCAACACATGCGCTAAGTGAGTCTGACGGAAAGTGCTAGACTATAAAGTAGTCTGAAGCCTGCTGAAATATTAATGCGATACGGCATAAAAACTGCTTTTTAATGCCGGTAACTAAACGAACCTCAGTTTCCAACACAGAAAGACAATGCTTCACGCTTGTAGAAGAAGGCTTTGGATATAAAGCACAGAAAATAAACATGGTGGGTATTACCCTTTAAACTATCCCACGTCACACACATAAAGCATGTACAATTAAAGCTTGAAAGCCTTTACACACAGACAAGTTCTTACACTGATTATAGTCTTTTCTAAACAGTAAAATACACTGACTACATCTTGGTCACCTTAACTAAATGTGGCCCATGTTCCAAGAACCTAATACTTCAGAACTGAGAGGAGATTCTTCAAAGTGAGGAAGTGAAACTGAAAAGTGGCCTCACGCTGCACATGTTTAGGTTATTGCAGATAAATAACGTGGCATGTAATCGATCTGTACTGAAAACGTAAGGAAAACAAAGCAAACTGGAAACAGAAAGAGAAAAGAAAGCTTCGTTTACACCTTTTACATCACTGTGAAAAAAAGGTTTAAATAAATCAACCCATCCTCAAAAATTCCACCAATATAATTCATCTGTGTAAGAGACTATTCGAAAGCTCATGTCAACAAAAACACTTTTTAGAAGTCTTTTTATGGAAACCAAGCTCCAATAACCTATTTTGCATTAACTGGTTTTGTGATTACGAAAGCCAATGCATTTACATATAAATGCCCCCATTTAGCCAACAGTTTACCACACAAATAGTGTGTGTCCCTCAGGGGCAAAAATAAAATACTGAAATGTAGGATATGGCTCCTTTAAAGGTTTCACTAAGGTGGCATGACATGGACAAAACACTATTATGTGACTATACATGCTACATACTGTGTCTGTGATGCATCTTGAAATATTCTAAAAGCACAATAGTGAATTCAGTATAATGTAGTTGAACATTATTCTGCAATATTTCCAAACAGTATTTACATTTGCTGGATAACACAAAGGTTGACTCACACAGAGTCCGATTTTTACAGAAGGAAAACCCAAAGCATATTAATGCTCGATTTTCTGCATTGTGTGGATGCATTAAAAACTTAGCTGACCAATCAGAGCTCAGCTGTCATGGCTGCAGTCCACGCAAACGTGCATCACGATGGCAGCAGGACAGCACGAAAGATTCTACCACAAATAACATGCTGACATGTAAACACTCCGAAAACATCTGTGATCAGTCAGGATTCTCACAGCACACAATAAAGCATTAAATTACTGGTGAGAGGTTCATTTGCACTGGGGCTTGGTGATGAAATCGGACATCATCGATGATTTACTAGTAACCTGAGGAGGATTTACACAATGTTCCAAAAAGTGTCCAAATGATTTAGATGAGTTCTGTTATAAAAATTATGAAAATATAATACTTCTGCATCTGAATTCGAGAGTGATATAATCGATAACCGTGATTTTAAACAAGAAAATATCGTGCTGACTGTTTATAGATAACGCCCAGGCCTAATTTGTTAACTGCAGAACAAAACCAGTACTGTTAAAGATGTTGTTGCAAGAACAATTAACAAACAAGTAGTAAACAGCTATAAGCAATTAACTGATTAACCGTTAACTGAAAAAACTGTTCAAATCAAATGCAACTAGTTTAAAAAGGTTACTTTCATTTTAGTTTATTTTATTGACAATAACCCACCAGGCAGCTGGCATTTTCAAATAATTTCTAAAAATAGACAAAAACATAGATAACAGGTTCTCACAATGACAATATATAAGCTTGACTCGTCAGGCGCTTGTTCATGACTACTCTTTAGATGTTAGATGTAGTGACCTGAAGGGGAAGGAAATAAGTCGTCTGAATAAAGACGACAAAACCTCCAGCATAGCGAACGTTTGATATGTGGGTTGATGTCTGGGAGGAGTTTGAACAGATGTAAGACAACCT